AAGAACAGTTAAATGTATTAGAATCCATTATATTATGTAGGATTATTTTAACATTAAGTTTAAGTATGTATATGAGGTTACATTTTTTATTTTTTTTAAATTTATGACTATGACGGCAAAAATGGTTTACTTAATTTCACTGATTTAGTAAACTTTTATTTTATATATAAACTTAGTAATATAATGTTTCTCATGTAAGTACTAAGGACATGGGTCATTCAAAAGCTTACATCTTATGGCATTTCATATTAATTTTATTTTACTATAGGTGTTTTTTTTTTGATTCTTTTTTAGTGCGTGTAGTATTATTTAAAAAAGAAATTTAGGTTAGAATTCATTCAATTTAACTACAATTTAATTACAATTTCAAAATTACAACTTTAAAATTTTAAAATATTTTCATTGTTTAGTTTTAATAGACTATATTACTTTATAACAGAAGGAAAATTACTCATAGTAAGTAAAATTATTTTTCCATATCAAAGTATATGTAAATTACAATTTTTTTTTTTTTTTTTTTTTAATTTAAATATTATTTAAGTAATATTAATGGCACTTACTACAAAACTAGCTAAGTCATTTCTCAGATTTAGTAAACTTTATTTATTAATTAATTAATTTATTTATTTAAAATATATGTAACCTAAGTAATAAAGTTTCATATGTATGTACAAAGAACAGGTTAGAATTCATTTTATTTAACTACAATTTTAATTACAATTTTAAAATTACAACTTTAAAATTTTAAAATATTTTCATTGTTAGTTTTAATAGACTATATCTATATATTATAACAGAAGGATAATTACTCATAGTAAGTAAAATTATTTTTCCATATCAAAGTATATGTAAATTACAATGGATTTTATATCTTACTGTTCTTTCTTTATATATATATATATATATATATATATATATATATATACGGGGTGTAACAACAAAAATGTCAAAATCGTGCAACAGCATAATTATTCATCCAACAAAATATTTAATTTCTAAAAAAGAAATACTAAACTAATTGAGTTTCTTTTTTAGGTTTTCTGGTAAGACGTTTAACCAGCTTGACACAGTTTGTGGTAAGAATCACTGAAAAACCCTTTGAGTTATTCAGCTGGAAACAGAACAAGTTAAAATCCTTTTGTGTTAGACCCACTATGTTTTCCTAACTGAGCAATAGTGAGAGGAAAAAGATTATTCAGACCTTCAGTAATGGTACCAACATTCATAATTTGGCTTCTATTTTCAAAATCCATTCTAGAACCATCAAGAGAACGGTGAATAAGTTTTAAAAAGAGGGAAAAGTAGAGAGGAAAACTGAATCAGGAGGTCACAACAGGGAGAGGGATCATCATTTCAACTTATGGCTGAAGAGATCAATTAGAAAAGATCCAACTCAAAACATAAGACTTTTGATACATGGGAGAGAAGTTTCAGCCATGACAGTCCAAACAGCAGTGAAAAAAAGACTTGAAAATGAAATCGTACGTGAAACGTGTGAGGCACCGTGTTTCATCAAAACAGAAAGTTAGAAAATTAGAGAGTGCGAAGATCACCATAAGATGGAAAATAACCCTGATATATATATATATATATATATATATATATATATATATATATATATATATATATATTTTGAATAAAAGACAGACCACGTTAAGATTCCATGTAATAAGCTATTTCACCATAACCCCTTTAAAAGGGTTCTGGATCATCAGACTTTACTTCCAAAAGCTGAAATGAAAATGAAAAGAAATTCACACGTTTTTTACGGACCTCATCAAGTATACGTAAAATTAACGGAGGAGGAAGTGAGGTGGGGAGAGAGGGATATGAGTGTGTCATATGTATCATTTTAGTTTCCTATTTTAACCCCCAGTGTGTCGGCTGGATGTTGCTCAAATCTAACGCGTCTCGTCTCTAGATAAAGGTGGTTAAGGGGGTGAGCGATAAGGACTACATTAAGGAAGACGTTACAATAACCCCAATAAATTACACGACAGGTTTCATTCAAATTCTTAGACGCTGTCAGTTCGCGTTACTTTAACGTGCATATTGGGAGGTTAAGGTTTGATAAATATCTAAATTTTCAAACAATCTACGACTTATCATTTTAGCTTTTGGAAGTAAAGTCTGATGATCCAGAGCCCTGTTAAATGGGTTATGGTGAAATAGCTTATTACATGGAATCTTAACGTGGTCTGTCTTTTATTCAAACATATCTGCTCTGAATTTTACATTGAGCTCTCTGGATATCATCCTCCTCAGGTCCACCCATACGGATTACCTAAATCTGCATAAACTATATATATATATATATATATATATATATATATATATATATATATATATATATATATATATATGTATTTGAACTTTATTTCAGTCCTTCATGAGCTTCCGATCCTTAGCTATGATAAACATATGATTTTCGTTTATTTTCGATTTCATCACGATACTTATGTTAAGCTTAGAGAGTAATTATACATTTTTATTGCACAAA